TTCGTGGTCCGGTCTTATACAAACTCATTGTATAGGATACCCTCACTCGCATGTCTCCACACGAATGACCTGGATCGAGTCGTCTGTAACCTTTACAGAGTGGGCCGTATCCATAGTGTTGCCAGGACAAAGTACCCAGCCTTATCCATATACTATAGACCCTTTAGGTTATTCACGGGACATTATCCACTTGTATATCAGAGTATATCAAATATATACCTCGTATATCAAGGGTATATCAAATATATACCCAGTATATTAAATATATACCCAATACATCTACTGTCCCAGTTACACTAAAATAACCTCGGATGTTTAGTTTATTGGATTTTGGACGATGCAATGCTATGAATTCAACAGCAAATTTATTGAATAAAACTTTATTGAATATAGATTTGTTTTTACACAAAATATAAACTACGAGTTTAGGGCAACACACCCAACATTCCCGACTATTGTAAAAAGGTCGGGAAAAAGTAGGGTTCGTAAGTGAATAGGAAAACTTTCTTCCGACGTTTTTTAAAAAACGTTGGGATTGGGTTAACTTTTCTCGACGTTTTTGAAAAATCGTCCGAAAATATAAACTTCTTTCGACGTTTTTGAAAAACTGTCGGAAAAAGTAAACTTCTCCAAAAAACGTAGGGAGCAAGTAGATATATCTCGACGATATAAAAATCATTGGGGAAGGATTTTTGGTGCGTTGGAAAAAAAAACGTCGGGAAAGCTACTAATTCTTGTAGTGATTTCCTAAGTCAAAAGCAACCAAACTTGGGTTAGAAACAAACTAAAACACTTTAATGGAATCGAAACTCAAATTAGGTGAGTCGTTACCTACTAACTCACACTAAGACCACTTGGGTTAGGAGTGGCCAATACCGAAGGGGGTGGGTATCACTAATTTGATTTCTTTCGACGTGGGTAACTCAAAACTAGCTTTGAACAATGGTGGCTATCTCGAATTGAGCTTCGTTTAACTATGGATCAACACCAAAAGTCGTCGGAAGCTACCAAAACCCCGCTGTTTGTGAATCGTTAAAGGGAGAAATCACCAATTGCTTGCAGATCTTGGTGTTGGCGTTGCAGATTTTGGCGTTCGTGGGTTGTTGTTACGCCACTTTTAGTCTGCTTGTCGTACCGTCTTCGCTGGAAGTCTCGTTGAAAGCAGGTGGGTAGTGGGAGAACAAAACAGTCATTGAAGCTTATCGGAGGAACGCGCTGTGTCGTCAGTTATAAGCTGCCGTCGCAGATCTGCTCGTGGGTAGACATT